AAAAATAAGAACCAAGATACTCATGTAAAGGTACAAGATTCCAATGATGAGTGTAACTGTATTTTATACTGAAAATGTACCAATAAACTTAATGGGAAATAAAAGAGAAGAACATATAAATCCTAAGGAATATACAAAATAGCACCTACAAATGAATTTAGCAAGGTTACAAGCTATAAGGTCAACTCCTCCAAATCAATTACTTTCCTGTATTCTAGCAAAGAACAAGTGGAAACTTAAAAACATAGCTTCAAAAATTTAAATATTTAGATATCTATCTAATAAAAACACGAAAGACCTCAACCTATTCTTTACATCTTATATGAAAAGTCACTCAATATAGATATAAATGTAAAATGTAGAACTCCAGATTTTGTGGAAGAAAACACAGAGAGCATTTTGTGATGTTGGGCTGTGAAGAGCTCTTCTAAATTACACCAAAAGCACGACCCAAGAGGAGGAAAAATACCCCAACAAATTGAACTTCAGAAAATTTAAAATTTTTTTTATGTCAAAGGATATTGCCAAGAAGATGAAAGATAAACCTCAAGTTGGGAGAGAATGTTTGCAAATCATATATTTGACAAAGAGTTTGAATCCAAGATATAGAAAGAATTTTCAAAACTCAATAAAATGACCTAATTCAATAAAAGCATAGGCAAATGGCCTGAACCAAAACTTCAACAGCAAATGCAACTGAAACAGCAAATGCAGGTGGAAAACGAGTGCATGAAAAGATGCTCAACATCATTAGTCACTAAGGAAATGCAAATTAAAAGCACACTGAGTTACCACTACATGGCTATTAGAATTACTAATATCCCAAATGAAAATCCCAAATGTTGACAAAGATGTGGGACAATTGTACTTGTACAAGCCCTTGAGTACTGTGCTGGGTATGAAAACTGTACAGCTACTCTGGCATTTTCTTACAAAGCTCTTGCACGTGACCCAGCTGTCTCACTTCTAGTTTAAATGAAAATTTATTTTCAAACAGGAATCTCTGTGTAAATGCTTAAAACAGCATTATTCAAAATCTCCCTAACCTAGAACCAATCTCAAATTACTTCAATAAGTGGGCAATCGATCCAATTGAATTCTACTCAGCAACTACAAGAAAACATGGTTAATACACACAACATGAATGAACCTTCAACTCATTGTGCTAGTTGAAAGAAACCAGTTTCAAATGCTGAATACTATGTGATTCCATTTATAGGACACTGACACAGGCAAAGCTAGTTCAGCGGATAGGTCAGTGGGTGTTGCATCTGGTCGGTGCAGAGTTTCACTATTGATGCTACAAAAAAAGAACTTGGAGGTGTTAAAGTTAGGCTGAATTAATCGCCGGTGGTGATGATAAGGATCTGTGTATGCACTGAAATCCACATAACTGAAAGCCAAGACATAATAATGTTTACTATATGTAACATGCAAAAGATAAGTTCAAAGTGACAATAATCGTTCTGTCACTTTCAGTTTTGTGAGTCATAAAAGGGATGCCATATAGGGCTTTACCTTGAGGTGCATGGGCAGAGAGAGGCTGAAAAGAAGGACGATAGAAACATGGAAATTCTGAGTCTTACAAAGTAGTACTGTGGACACGTGTAACCTGTGCACGTGCAGAGGGAGAGCTAAATATATGGGAGGAAAGATGGAATTAGAAGCGTGTTTGAGGGCATCTTAGGCAAACCCTTTTTAAAAAAATCAAAATCAGCATGATCCATTGAGCATTTATCTACTGAACATTGTCATAAACTCTAGGAAGCAATGAAGAAATATCAGAATAACACTATCTGAAAGAAATGTCATAGGGTGGAGAGCAGGAGATGAGATTCTATGCTCATCTCTAACTTGCTGTGGAAGGTTAGTTATTTGCACCTACGAATTTCTGCTTTCTGATCACACATATTGGTTTTGGCTATGACAGCCCACAATCCTTTCACTCTGTAAGACACACTTTCTAACACTGAATTGACAACCTGCGGTGATTGGAAAGCAAGGATTAGACCGTTGGAACTGAGGAAACATTTCAATTTGATTTTACCAAAGTTTATTGAAATTATTTTCATCTGAAAGTCAAAGTTATGTTGAACTTTGCAGTACAAGGGTGGGTTAAAGTACTCAGAGACTCGCTATTTTATTTTAAAATTCTTTTATTTATATATTTTTATTAGTACATAATGTTTACATTCATTTTAGGGAGTAGGTAAATATATTTAACATGTCTTGATTCTTTTTATTCCCTTTCTTCTCTCCAGCCTTCTCCCTTTCTCAGTCCCTAAATCCCCTTTCCTCATTTTCATCATCATTATTATTATTACTTTAGTTCATTTTTGTGACATATAAATACATTCATTATAAGCATTTTGTACATGTACATAGCACATCTTAAATCTTTTTACATCCCCTTCCCCTCTCCCCCACCCCCTCCTTAGTCTTTTGGTTCTCTTCATTTGCATAAGACCTATCTCCTTGTTTCCTTTTATCAATTTTTATTTTGCTCTTTATTTGTACTTTGGATTACTCAAGTGAGAGAAACTATGCAGTATTTAAACTTGTATGCCTGATTTATTTCACTAACATTATGTTTTTAGGGTGTATCCATCTTTCTACAAGTGTCTTGAATTTATCCTTCTTTATTGTTGAGTAGTATTCCACTATGTACAGATACATTTTTTTTACCTGTTCATCTGTTGATGGACATATAGCCTGATTGCAAGATTTAACTGTAGAGAATTGTGCTGCTATAATCATTGGTGTACATGTATCGCTATAATATGATGCCATTAACTCTTTTGAGAAGATACTTAGAAGGGGACTATCTGGGTTCTAGTTCAGCCAACAAAAATGAAATTTTTGTATTTATAAAATAAAAAGGGTTTTCTTTTTCATTGCAAATTAAAGTTGTTAATTCCAATGTGCAACAAGATCACCGTCTGTCCTTTTTTTTTTTTTTTGCTAGAGGAAAGGATGTATGGCAATTAAAATACAATTACGCATGTAATACTATTATATCTGTTATACTAGTAAGGGAGAATGAATTCACAAGAATGATTTTACTTATAGAATATGAACCGGAAGTTGAGTAAAGGAAAAAACTCAATCTGCCCTACACCCACACTATCATTAGCCCCTGCTGGTTGAAAAATATAGAAGTTCTCTTATTTTTGTGCCTCTTGGCTCATGCTTTCCCAGGTCTTGTTTGTAGCCATACTAAGGTTTGAGATGAATCATATTTTGAATTTATTTTGAAGCTTTCTCCAGGAAGTGGGACATTTCACTTGTTATTCCATTGTATTTTCATACCTGCTTCTACAGCAGCCATTGTAGTCCTGGTGCTGGATTTAGGTTTGAAAATGTCCTTTCCACACCCATGCATGTGTGTATAGAGATCACCTAACTACAGTATAAACACTTAACCTATTAACGGTGTGTGAGGACTGGTGAAGTGTAATGAGTTCGAAAAGCGGGGGTTCTGGCCCTTATGGCTTTTAGGAAGAAAGACCTGATAATGGCCTAGGGAGGAGGAGAGGAACACCAGTCATGTTAGAGGCTGCTTATGAGGGATTTGGGTAGAAGTTAATCCCTAAGCGGTAACTTCTAACTCCTTGGAGTTTCCTGAGTGATGGCAGTATCTAACTTATGGAGCTCCAGGGTTTATGCTAATAAGATGACCTAGATGAGGACTGGCCACTCTGGAACCGTCTGATCAGGACAATCACATGATTAGAACATAGAGGTTTGACCCATGTGATGTCTGTCTGACTTGGGAGGAGAAGGATCCTGGAACTGAGGTCAGTCGTCATGTAGCCAGTGGTTCAATCGATCACGGCTATGTAATGAATCTCCAATCAAAACCAAGGGTACCTGTGCCTCAGGTGAGTTTCCTGGTTAGTGAAATCCTACATTTGGGACCCTTCCAGTGCTAATCCTATGTGTCTCTTCATTGCCCATCCTGATTTGTATCTTTTATATAAAACTTTAATTGTAAGTCTAGTGTTTTCCTGAGCACTGCTCAGTTGCATTATTCAGCCTGGGGGAGTAGTGGGAACCCCATCATTTTTAGCCAGTGAATCAGAAATGCAGGGGGCTTGGTAACTGCAGAGTTGTGGCTGGCATTTGAGATGAGGACAGTCTTGTGGAGGACAATGCTCTTAACCTGTGAAATCTGACCTAACTCTGAGTAGTAAAGAGTTGGAATTGCATTGCAAGGCCAATAAGGGGAAATCCAGTTGTACTGACAAAATTGAGCCAGATTGTGGAAGCCTTGGAAGTCAGACATATTTGGAAAGGGACCATGATATAATTTAATAAAATAATAACAGTTTAAATGTATGAAATACTTGCATGTGTGTTTCCTATACATTACTCTTCTTCCACCCTACAATGTAGGAAGCATTATTAATTACATATTTTATAGATGAATAGTGGAAAAGAATCCAAATCATAAAAAGAACAAAAAGACCTTGGACTCCTCTCTGGTTTGAAATTTGCCATCTCTGTGTTGACCTGGGAAAAGCCATCCCTTTCCTTGAACTTATTTTCCTTCTCAGTATAATAAGAACAGCCCTTCCACTTCTAAGACAATGGTTCCAAATGGCTAAGGTGCATTCTGGGAAGTCATGGTTTACTGAAGTAGTCCCTAACATCCAACTAGACTTTGAACATCCACTTGTATTTTCAACAAATATTCGTTGAACATCTGACAGGTGCCATGCGCTTTGCTTTGGAGAAGGAGGGATAAGCAAGATGGGCACAGTTCTACCAAGAGTAGTCATTGCCTCATTATCTGTAATTTCCCTTTTTATTTCAAATGAGATTACATTGAAATAAGCAAAGGAAGAGAGGCAAAGGAAGGGGAGAGGTGAGACGACAAAAAAGATCACAGATTATCTGTGTGGGGGTGGAGGAGACTGGGAATGCACTTTGCCTGCAATTAGTGGAATGAAAGTTTGACTAGAGGTGGCACATGACAGGTGCACTATGCCCCTGTGAAAGTCAAGCACTTTTAGCATTAGGTAGCGATTTTGTGGAACAAGCCCCAACAGTAATAATGTGGTCTGCGGATTTGTACATGAGTTACAAGGCAAGTAGGAGCGTTACTCTACTTACCTCTTCTCCTCTTGTGTTCAAGGAGTAACACAGCAGGCTCACAGCCTAGAAATAAGAAGAGACCTTGGGATTTGGAGTGGAGAATTCAAGCAGAGAAAGAGATGAGACTTTCTGGGCAAGGCAACATTAAACATTAATAAAGACTATACTAATATTTTGAAGCTTGGTAGCTCTCCAGACTCAGTTAGGGGTACTTTATGAACATACAGATTTTGCCCTGGAAATTTTTATAATCAGAATTTCTAAAGGAGGAGACTTAGGAATAAGGCCTCCAAGAAGATTCAGATGCTCTGCTGGCTTTGAGAAGATCTGGGTAACCTGATTGTCAAATGAGGATGGCTCCTAAAGATCCCGAAGCCTGTCATGGACAGTCATCACTGTAAGCTGCTAATACGGTGTTATTTTTCTGAATAAGTCAGTTCAATTTGTGAAGCTATGGATTTGCAGGGTCTTGTTTTCCTTTGCTTCCATCTGTGTACTTTTATTCTCAGTTCCTTTTGTTAGCATCTGAAATCTTGGGAGGTAAGATGTGTTTTGCTTTGGTTTTTTCAGGGTGGAGAATGAATGCTGCCTTCCATAGTAGAAACTGGTTGGTTGTTTTTGGTGAAATCTCAAGGAAAGAGTGGAAGGTAGGGTTTAGCCATCAAAATCATTTGAACTAACCAAATCAACAATAAATCACAAACTCTAGATTTTTGTTTAAAGGGGAATAGACCAAGGCAGTGGATTGCAAATTAGCCAGGCCACGACTTGCTGGCTCTCCTTCATTTTGTAAACAAAAGCAGGCCTGAATTCAATCAAACATTACTTGTTAAAGTAAACTAGCAAAAGCTGTTGAAAATTAAAGTAGAACAGAAGATGATTTCAATAATTTTATTCTCCAGCTTTTAGCTTAAAACAAAACAAAACAAAAAAACTATCCACCATTCCATTCCAAGGGGCATGTCCTTCCTTTTAAGATACTTTCATGAAAATTAAACAGCATTTTAGTGGAGGTTATGCACATATTGAAGAATGCTACCCATAGCATTGTGTAAATTGCCTTGAGAGCAAAATTCTGAATGTTATATCTGTAGTTTTGACAATATTTTAGGGACCTTTTCATGATCATGTTATCTCCCCTGCCAGGTAAGTATATTAGGGACCTTCACAATGAGAGGGATGGGACTCAAGGTTGGCTAAGCTGAAGGTTTAATGAATCGATGAATACCATGTGTTTGGTATGTTCTACTTGTTCAAAGTGGCATTGAGAGGTTACTTGGTTCTAACCATTTTTTGGTTTAGGTTTTAATCTAGGCAGAGTTGTTGCGTTTCCCCTTAAACTGAACAAAGCCAGAGGGATTTTGCTCTATGAGACTAGAAACAGGACCATTGCTTTTTTCCTGAGGTGATGTGTCCCCTGGGAGTGACAGGGGCAAGTAGGAATATCACCTGAACTCCTAGATGTGCTATGTCCCAATTCTCTAGCCTTAACTTAAATTCTCCTAGTTGTTCAAGTAGAACTGTCATGGGGGGGCGCAGGGATCTAGAGGTTATTTCTAAGAGCTTGGGGAGTAGGAATAGCTGTGCAGTCATGCACCTGGGCCAAAAGTAATCCTGAGTCACGGCTGGAACTCCTTCCACCTGTGAGCTTGCATTATGTTTCAGCAGCCAAAAGAGGTGTTGATTCCTTTCAGGCCTCGTTTGTCTATGATGAAGTTCAACCCACCACAGAAGGACTCGGGGGAGTTTCCCTGCGGGCTCTACGTCTTGATGTATGTTTTCCCCATGCTTTTCTCTGTTTTCCCTGCATTTTTTACAATGAGGTAGACACCATAGATATTTTGCCTGCAAGATAATACACAGTATCTCCTAACAGTGCAGAATTAAGTGAGTAAATTCTGGTAGGCACCAACCAACTGCTGCTGCTGCTGAAAAACAGGGTGAAACTAGAGCAGCGACACACTCAGCTCCAGAATCAGCTTGCAAGGCCCACTCTTTGCAAGGCCCCCTCAAAACCACCCACCATCACCAACCGTGGTTTGGAAGAAATGGGGCTGTGCATCCTGGCTGTGGGTTTGTACTCAAGGCAGCAGCCGTCGTGCAAACTCAGCTTGGGTGGATTCGGAAAGATGCCCTACCACCTGCCTACTCTAAGCTCTCATACACTGCACCGGAAAAAGATCTTTACTGATGAGTTGGATATAAAATAATTTTATTATTTACATATTCATTTTATTTATTGATTTTAAATTACTTTCATTATGGGTCCTCTTGGAGACAAGAAACGGGATGAAATGACCTCTTGTAATTCCTCTCATATGATGCTCAGGATGATTTGTTTCTATGGCCTCATGGGGGTAGAAATCATTTTATCAGTAAGGGAGGGGCCTTTTCTGTTTTAAGGTTCTGTCTTTGCTCTGGAAGTCCATGGTTCTATTTCAAGAAATGTTAAATTGTTGTTTTACATCTATGGAATTGGTCCAATAACCAGCTACAGAAATGTGAGAGTCCTTGAGAGTAAAGGTCCTGGCTCACATTCTTAATAGCGCCCATCAACAAGAGCAGTTTCCTAGTAGCTCTACCTTGATACCCGCCCTCCTGGGGTGATCAGGACCTGTATTTCACTGTTCTACCTCAGCTTTGACTCCTTTGTGTTTATTTCACTGCTGAAAGACTCAGAACATCCCTTTCTCTAGCACACATTGTTTGTCTGAAAATACACCTGGAAGCCGCCCAATTTGGAAATGACTTAAATTACCAAAAAAGCACAGCTGTCTTTAACAGGTCTAGGAGTTCATGCAATGAGCCTACAATTTATTGAGTAGGATTAGATGCTTATTGCCTATGACACTTTAAATACCATTACATTGAAGTTTATACAAGAAAGTCCAAGTTTAAAACTGGAATTTTAGCAATAACAGCTGGGGCATTTGTTTACGTGATAGGCAGGAAAGAAGGACTTCTGTAATCTTTGTCTTTGGCTTTGGGATTCTGAAGGGAAGCAAGAGATAGGGAGCTGGGAGAAAGAAGCTAATTTCGGATTGTTAAGCTGGGCTGAACACCGCTGGCTAGTTTGTCCCTCATGTTAAGACCTCTACCAAGGCTCTTCTTGTATCCTCTTGCTCCCTCACACCTGACAAACCAGCGTTTGAAATACTGTAGCCCGCCTCAAGGACAGCAAGGGGTGTGTTGCTAGCTAGCTTGCAGCTCTCTCCCCCAGGCGGCTCACATTCCGCATTTTGTTTCTAGCATGAAAGACTTTGTTTTAAATCATAATAGCAACCAGGCTGTAATCACATTAGAGCGCACATGGAGAACTTGCAAAAAGTCATGTGTTTTGGATTTGACATTCTGATTTATGGTTGTGTGCTCCAGTTACACAGCTGCGATCTCATTTTCCGACAAAGATGTTTTCTATTTTTCTATTACTTTGCTTCACCCTGTCTTTATGTTGGGGAAAATGAAAGCCACCAGGTGAAATCATAACATAAGTACAAATGTTTTCATGTTTGGGTTGGACAGCGTAATAAATGGTGTATACCGGTATTTCAAACACAGCTTGTTATTTTTGAATAAAAGTGTAAAGGGAATTGCTTACTTAACGTAATAGCAAATTAGAGAGGTACATAGAAATTTGTTTGTAAGACCTAGAATTATCCTACAAACTTTCTATTCCCATCACCTGATATCAATTTCCCAGAAGGGAAACGAATAGCAATGTTCCATTTTGCAGGTATGGGTAAATGGAGCTGCCTACTTATGCTTAATTTCATGAAATTCTGAGAGGTTCAAGGTTGGGAACTTGTAAAAATAATATTTGTGAGCCTGATCATTGTGCAAATGAGGAAGGCAATACAGAGATGTAAAGGGACTTGCCCAAAGTCCTACAGCTGGTTATGAACAGAGCTTAGACTACAACTCAAATTTCTTTCCCCCCAACTCAATATGTTGTTTCCTACCATTTAAGTGCAAGTTGAATGGTAAGCTGACTACCACCACAAAGAATATTCCAAATAAGCTTTCTGTTAATATACAAGAAAAAAAATTCTTTTCACTTTTTGTTGCTTCTTCAAGTGTAAATATTTTTTCTAAGGTTGATGAAAATTAGGATTCAAACCCAGCTCATCAGTACACATGGCACACCGCTCTATTTTAGTCTCATACTTGAGGGCTGTTATTGGCAATAAATGTAACTGTCTTGAACTTACACATATTAAGACAACACATTTCTCTATTTTACAACACGTAAATGATTCCAAATATAATCAACTTTTTGTCAATTCAATAAATTCTTGATGAAGACGTAAAAAGTACTTGTACAAGAAAATTTTAAATGTATAGAATGAAGGAATGCCTGGGTACAAGCAGTCTGATTGACTCAGAAACCTCTATAAAAATGGGAAGAACATTAGAGCTCTATGGTTTGGATCATCATTTGGTGCTTGTTTTCTTCTTGTATAGATTCAGTCCTTAGGGGAGTATTTTAAATGCTATGGTTGGCTCATTATGGTTTTTGCACAGAGGAGAAAAATCCTTATATACAGGAATTAAATACATTAGTATTTATTACTGTATTATTATTTATTACTGTATTAATTATTACTGTATTAATGTATTAAATACATTAGTAGGACTTTCTACGTTGCAGATAATGAGTGAATTGGGTCCTCTTATTCAGGGAGTAGCGAATGGAAGGCCAAGAGGTCTCTTTATTTCACTGAATGCAGGTGAATAGATGTTCACTGAAGTTTTAGATTCTCTCATGTGTATGAGAATAATCCTTCCAAGTAGAGTGGGTGTGTTTTGGGCACCCGCTGCTCAGCCTCTCTTCTCCTCCTTTCCGGCCAACAGCACCAAGATTTTCTGGGACAGTGACTTCTACTCCATGCTCATCCATGAAATGAACATCACGTCATCCCACCCTGAGTCCAAACTGAGCTGAACCTGAAGCCAGTCCCTTATTTCACCTGCTCTCCAGTGGAGGTGATGGATTATGATGGGTATATGGCATTGTGGGCCAATGAAACCGAACCTGAGGATTTATAGAGATGTTGCCATTCAACAGAGAATGTCAGAAATTAGCAAGTAAGTTTTTTCTGTGTCTTCAGTTTCAGAGGGAAAACCCAGAGCTTCTGTGGAAGCTTACATTAAGGAAAGAGAGTGAAGGTCAGACCTCCCAAATTTAAAGACCCAATCCAAAAATGGGCATCTGAAATGAACAGTCGTTTCTCACACAAAGAAGTAGAAATGGCAAATAAACATATGAAAAAATGTTCAACATCACTGGTCTTTCAAGAGATGCAAATGAAAACAACGCTGAGATTTCACTTCACTCCAGAAAGAAGGGCTGCTATGATGAAATCAACCAATAACAAATGCTGGTGGGGCTGGCGGGAAAGAGGAACCCTGCTCCACTGCTGGTGGGAGTGTAGACTGGTGCAACCACTGTGGAAATCACTATGGAGATACCTCAACGAACTAGGACTGGAAGTCCCATTTGACCCCGCTATTCCCCTGCTGAGGATCTTCCCCAAAGAATTAAAAGAATCAAACCACAGCGATATATGTGCACCCATGTTCATAGCAGCACAGTTTGTAATAGCTAAAGCTTGGAAACAGCCCAAACGCCCATCAACTGGAGACTGGATCAAGAAAATGTGGTTTTTAAAAAATAAAATGGAGTACTACTCAGCCATCAAAAATGAGAAATTAGAGACATTTATTGCTGAATGGATGCACATTGAGGTGATACTTTAAGTGAAATAAATAGGACACACGTGTAAAAACTGAATAGTTTCTCTAGTGTAAGAAACTGAAAGTGTAAATAAGGACTAAAAAGTATAATAGATAATGTGAAATAGGAAGAAAAGGGGCAAAGGGGAAGGGGAAGTGGGAGGGGTAGGGGAAAAGAAAGAAGGGAATGGAATTAATATGAGAAAATGAAAAAAGGGAAACAAAGTCTTTGTAAATAGGGAGGACTGGAGGGGTTGAAGGGAGGGCAGGGGAAGGGGGAAAAATAAGAACCAAGAGAGACTATGTAAAGGTGCAAATTCCCAATGATGAATGTCATTATATTGTACACCTAAAATGTACCAATAAAAGGATATACAAAAAAAAGAAGGAAAGCGAGTGGAGGAGGGAGAAATACACATTACCTGTTGTATGGGTTTCGCTGCTGGCTCAAGCTTCTGCTGTTGACCCGTGCCTTGGTGGGATGTTATCTGTCTCACAGCTGGGATTGGGTGGCCCTGGGAAGTGTTGGGCAGAGCAGCAGCCAGAGTGGGAGCTCCTATAAATTACAGCTCTCAGCATTGTAAGGATCGTAACAATGATTGCTAGAGGGTGAGGGAGAGAAGCTGGTGAGCACAGTGAGATGTTGAGAAATGTATCTTTGGCTGACAAAATAAAATAGAGTAAGATTACTGTCAATTTCATAAGTCTTTTTTTTTTTTTTTCTGTACTGGGAATTGAACTTAGAACCTTGTACTTGCCAGGTAGGTGCAGCACCACTGAGCTGTATCCCCAGCCTCATATGTCTTATTTTGTTCTCCATTCTTTACCAGAATATTTATACAAAGAATTTAAAAATTTGCCTAAAAGATCCCACCTACTATTAAAAATGAGGTCTGCTGTTAAGCTTTTTTTTTTTTAGACTTACAGCTTCTTTCAGAGGTCTTCAGTGAATGATGTACTCTGTCTCACCTCTATTGCTTTAGGATAAATTTAAGACTCAAGATTCACCTTTTTACAACAAAATACTCTCAAGTACAAGTAGCTTCCCTTAATCAAAGTCCAAAAGCGTGGTTTCTGTTGCCCATACATTTTCAGAAGACTTGCCTGTATGATTTCTGAGAATGTGATATTCTGGGAATGCTGCTAATTTCATTAGCTGCACATCAACATGAGAGAGAAATGTCCATTTTTATAGGCAATCTACCAATTAAACATTTTGCCAACTAAAACACACATACAATTTGTACTGATAATTTTATAAATAAAATTGTGTTTGTCCAAAATAATGTCATAAAGTGGAAACTGCTTGTACAGTTGAGTTTTATGGGTCCTTGAAAGTCACTGGGTTTTTACATTTTTCTTTTCTTTCTCTTTCTTTTTTCTTTCTCTCTTTCTTTCTTTCTTTCTTTCTTTCTTTCTTTCTTTCTTTCTTTCTTTCTTTCTTTCTTTCTCTTTCTTCCTTTGAAGCTGCTATAATTAAATACCATAAACTTGGTGGTTTATAAGCAACAGAAATTTATTTCTCACAGTTCTGAAGGCTGGAAGCTCAAAATCAAGGCATTGGCAGGTTTGGTGTCTGGTGAAGCCTCACTGTCTCAGCAGCAACTGTCTCCTCTCATCTAGGAGGTAAATGAGTTCTCTGGAGCCTCTTTTTAAGGGTGCTAGTACCATTCATGAATGCTGCACCCTAATGACCTGATTACTCCCGAAGTCCCCACTTTCTCATGCCATCACATTGGGGTTAAGATTTCAACATAGGGATTTGGTGTATGTGTATGTTGGGGTGTGGGGGAGGGGGTGGCATACATATTTAGCTCACTGCACTTTTAGTATCCTAAAAGGATTTTGTTTCTATTGTCCATGACCTACAACATCGGTCCCCAACCTTTTTGGCACCGTGACTGGTTTTTTGGAAGAAAAGTTTTCAACAGATTGAGGGTGAGCAGTTTATTTTTAGCTTCTTTTGTTTTATTATTACATTTTTTTCAATACATAATAATTACATTGCCCAGAGCTAGCATCACTACCTCAGCTCCACCTCAGATCGTCAGACACTGGGTTCTCATAAGGAGCACGCAACCTCGACCCCTGGAGTGCACAGTTCACAGGAGGGTTCATGCTCCCATGGGAACCTCATGCTGCTACTCTGACAGGAGGTGGATGGGGAGTTGTGGGGAGTGGCTGTAAATACAGATGAAGCTCTCCTCATTGGCCCAGTGCTCACCTCCTGCTACTCTGTAGCCTTGGGTGGGGACCCCTAACCTACAGGATGGAAGTTTCTAGAATGATCCAGGGCAGAATGTGTGCTCATGGAACCTGAATAGCACCATTCTTTTCACCATCGTCACAGGTCCTTACTAACTAAAGAGACCTAGAGGGCTTGTGAGATTCACCTGAAAGTGGGTGTGAAATGATGAAGCTACCCACCTGCTCTTGGCCTCCGTGTACGTTTATCGACATTACTCATGGGTCAGAGGGGACTTTCCAAGAAGCTACTGGAGGCTACGCTTCAGGATCCTTTTACGGTACTTGCATAGCCTTCCAAGCACCTGGGAGGGATCCTAGCAATTTTTACTTGTAACTTTCTATTCTTTTTCCTAAAAAGAGCTTTGTAAAATTGTGTAAGTCCAAGGCTTCACAAAAATGGGGGTATCTTGGTCTCTGTGTTTCTCTTGAAAGGTAGAAGCAAAGAGAAAACAAAATCTACGATTTTAGCTTGAGCCCCTGATCATGATGACTTTACCAGCTACAGGGAGTTTAAAATATTCTCTTCCTCACTACATACAGATAACGGGGCTGGGGATTTAGCTCAATGGTTCAGCCACCTACCTCGCAAGCGCAAGGTCCCAAGTTCGATCCCCGGTACCAAAAAAAAAAAAGAAACTGCTACTACATACAGATAACACAGCCTTCAGAAGCAGCACCTTTGGCCCTTGTGAGGGAGACAGGAGGAACTGCAGGGCTGCGGTTAGTGAAAAGGCAGTGAGTATGTAGATGCAGAAAGTAAGGACTTCTAGTATTTGTTACTGGTCTTTGGATAGGAGTGTGATCACACGGGGCAAGTGCAAGCATGTGGGCATAGGAACACTGAGAAAAGAACCTGAGAAACAAGAAGAAAACAAGCATAGCCAGGTCAAAGGAAGATTCTGTTTTCAAGAGCTTAAGGGTTTGTGTCAGTCTTTTGTAAAAAGGATTGGCAATTAGTCTCAGCAACTCTGCATGTTCTTTGGAAACTGTAGCTTTAACCTGCCTATTTCCATACCACCCATATCTTGGGAAATCGATAGGAGGTGGTGGAGACAGAAAGTTTGTACTTCAACTCTAGATTTTACAAACAAATCTCCACTTACATTCCAAAGATAGGGTAAGGAATAGAGTAAGGAATTCCTTTTACACCTTTATAATCATGTAAACTATACAGTGTCTATATAGTAAGCCAACCATATGCAAAATGTACAGTAGAATGTATTTGTCATCTCATAGTATGTTCTTTATATAAAATATTTCCATAACGTAAGTAATGTATGAATACAAATTCATTTAAAATATGCTCAGACAATAGAAATTAAGGGAAAGTCCACCTCTTTTTGTTCTACATTTACTACACCAATTTCAGTTACCCCTTTGGAGGGGTAATCCATACCCTCAGTTTGTGTCATATTCTTTCATTCCTTTTTATACATGGGTTTTCATTTTCAACTGAAGTTAAATATAAATATTATAAACTTTCAGGGCCGCATTTTTTTTTAACAAAGTAAGTAGTATTCTTCAATATAGGATCTGCACCTTTGGTTTAAACTCCAAATATGTATTAAAGACCCTTTCATATCAGTATGTTTCTTATAATTAATTGCTGCAATTATCCTATAGACTGAACATACCAATATTTATTTACCTATTCTTTTATTGATAGAACTTTTGCTATTGCATTCAAAGCTATAGTGAATATTTTTGTGCTTTTTTCTGTATGTGTGTGTATGTCTTTCTCCAGGAAAGATGTAAAATAGTGGAATTTAGTCTGTACACTTTATATTTTAATAAAAACTATCAGATTGTGATGTATATATGTTGTGGTTTACATTCTCACTAGATCTGAGGGTGCCCAGTTCTCCATTTCCTTAGTAATATACAGTGCTATCTATTTTTAAGTAAATATTTTGGTATGTTTATAAGGTTCCTCATTAAAAGTAATGTTAAATATGTTTATATTTAGATGCTTATATCTTATCTTTTATAGATAGGATTCTGGAGCCCAAAGTTATGAAAACAAGGTATGCAATAGCTACATGATTTCTAGCTAATTAAGCTATATATTACATCCAGGTCAGAGATAGTCTCTACCTCAGCATTCT